TCAAAGTCACGACCGTGCGATCGAATACATCTCTGCGGATAAAAGACGATATTTTTTCATAGACATCCTCATTCATCTTCAATTAAGGATCTAAATGCAAATGCGTTGTCACTCCTAAGGACTAAGATGGAATGCCTCGTTTCCATTAAAAAGGGTCTCCAGTTATGGTCTGCTATTTTACTCTGGTATTCTGTGAGAGGGTCCTGGCGCTGTCGAGCCGAGCCATTCGTACTACAACTACAATATAGCTGCAGCGTAGTTCTTCCACGTAAAATGTAATAATAACTTTAGAAGGACTACATTAACTGATATAACCAAGTGGATCAGTAAGCCGAAGTGGCAATGGGCCGGCCATATAGCTTGAAGTACCGACAATCGATGGGGAAGAAAGGTTCTCAGGTGCCAGCCTCGTACTGGAAAGCACAGTGTTGGGCCCCGATCAGACCCCCAAATAGATAGTGAGCCGACCTGAAACTTAGGCTTAGATTTAATAAACGTTACTATTAAAATCATAATTATATACAAGCATCTCACACTGCTTCCTAACGCCTGCTCGGTTTATATTCTGAAAATTTCTGTGATGATTATTTATTGATATCGTTTGTTGCTAGCTTTTTAATTTTAGATTTTTATATTTATTATAATAGTTTTAAGATATATTCGATCAACTCTAGTGTGATAAAAACTTTAACATAACACGACTATATTAATGGATTCTAACAGTTAATATGTTTATATACCTCATAAATTAGGAAACCGTCAGTAAACGGTAAACTCGATTTCGTAAAGCACTGGCGAATTTTTAAGTGTACATTTATTTTTTTAGTTTATTGCAAATAACTTACAACGGTCATTTATGTTTCGAGTTATTCGTTTATTAGATTCGATTAGCGTTATGGGTTTTTGTGCACCCATTACTCGAAACATAGTAACATTATGAGGATATTTCACGCGGTTATTCTTCGAGAGCATAGTATTCCTTCTCCAGTACACTACCGCGTACAAACATTAAGGCTCAGTAATCAGCATAGGATTCGAGACTTTACTGAATGTAATTACCAGTAACTGGTAAAAAATATTTTTTAGCAAAACGTCGAAAGCCGATGATTATAAATAACTAAAAATAATGAAATAATTTTACGTTCTGAAGTCATTATCTTTGGTAGGATTCGGTGTTCTTTAGCGAGGATTTGTGGTCTATCAACTATGATGTTATGGCGAGGACATGTTCATTGATTGCAAAATTTTTTTACATTTTTTTTGAGAAATATTTTCGTCTTAAGTCTTGTTTAAAAATAACACTTAAAAATTATACATCAGTTATAATTATTATATTCTTAAAAACTAAGGAGGTATAAGTTTAAAAAAACAAAAGGAAAATATCCTTCGAGCCGGATTTGAACCAGCGACCTATGGATGACAACAATTGCTCAACTCTACAGTCCACCGCTCTACCAACTGAGCTATCGAAGGTTGTTAATGGAGTTTGAAATTTTGCTACAAATCTTGTATATAAATAGTTCTTAAATAATTCACATTTCATTTATGTTTCACTAAATTATTAAGGATGTAAGTTATAAAACTTTTTTCTCTATATCCTATTACAAAATTTACGATAGTAAAATAAAAATCAACTACAATAGTGTCAAAATCACTGGCTCGTTTTTATCAAAACAAAGAACCAGCCTTCTTCCGAGGACTTGTCGTGAATCGGTTGTCGTCGGTTTACAAAGAGTACTTAATAACCAGTTGTTCCTTTAGAAACTTTACACTCAGATAGTCGCTACAGCAATAGTATAGGTGTTTATTACGGTTTCACATTTAAGCCAGGTGGCACTTGCATTCTAGTTTTAATTTCTAAACTAATAAACATAACATTTTCAATATTTTATATTATGTTATTAATATATCCAATAACTAACAAAGTTAAACGTTTGAACTAAAAAAGTTCAAAAATCGACGCCCCCGGGTGGGCTCGAACCACCAACCTTTCGGTTAACAGCCGAACGCGCTAGCCGATTGCGCCACGGAGGCGGATGACAGTACTTGCAAAATTAAAAATTAGAATATTGTACCTAATGAATTTCTAATTTAAAATTTAATAAAAAGATGATCAAAATTTCCGTATAAGATAATTTAAATTTTTTATTGCTATGCCCAAATGGGTACCATGATATTGTTACATAATCCTTAAACCAACCTATGTTTCCTCATGAATACTTTAAATGACTATTCACTATAACTAATAAAATCGTCTAAAGATTCTGATTTCAATTTACAACAGTGGGCTATCGTTTATGTTGTGTAAACCTCACTCGGAAGCTTATAACACATCATGAAAAAAACTAAACAATATAGACCCGAAATATTATAGACATAAGTGATGCAGATGTCTCAGGAGCTCAGGACTATTACCTATATTATCTATATTCAGGACCGTGCTTCGTAGCCTGTATTACAACACCAACAGTAACTCTACTCTTTGTTTGTAGCTATTCGTAAAATTCTGTAGAGGAGGCTTATGTTATTGTAAGTAAATGGCTTTTTATGGACTTGTAAATGGCTGTAATAATAAGGATAGTAAAAATTTAATTAAATTGTCAATTATACTTGAAAATTATATAATCTAGGTGTTATTTCTAAATTTTTCCAAAAGGCTATCTATAATGACAATTTTTTGCCAAATGGCTATAGCACACAGATTACCCCCTATAAATTTAGTGAATAATCTGTGCTCTAACATCTATAGAGATCTTATTACTTTTGCAAAACAAATTGTATAAAAGCGCCACCTATGTATATTAACCCGCACTAAAATATTGTAACTCTTTCCGCGTGATAAAAGATTTGGAAGTGTATGGGGAATTTCATATGAACTTTTTATCCCGATCGTCAGCTTGACCCTGCTAACTGACAGCCAAATTCCTGTCGGTTAATGTGCGGCCTAGCCCATTCTGATGACGGAATGAAGGTAGGGAAATCTAAAAAAATGCCGAACAAAATCCCACAAATGACACTGTTGGAGCATCATCACCAGTGCGAGGGTATCCGGTCCGAGGGAGGGCTGATAAAGATTTTTAATGAAAAGTATACTAATAATGCTAATAACATTTATACCTGGTAGAGCCATGCTGCAGTTATATTAGTAGTATAGTAGCACGAATGGGTCGGCACGACCGGAGAAGGACCACGCTGTCACAGAATACCAGCGTGAAATAGTAGCTTAATGCTGCTGTATTTCGTATGGTGAGTGTAGAGAACCGGAGACCCTTTTTACTGGAAACGAGGCATTCCATCTTAGTCCTCACGGGTGACAACGCATCTGCATTTTGATTTGTAATCGAGGATAGATGTAGATGTCTATGGGCCGCAGCAGACACTTACCATCAGGTGGACTGTGTGCTCGTTTGTCACCCTATCCTATAAAAAAAACATTTATAATAATCCTGTTAACCACTCTGAGTAAGCTTATAAGATGTTTGTATTAGGAATGATTCACGACAATAGTCGAATGGCGGATTCGAACCCATGTTACATATTACAATATTGCGATTGACCATTCTACACAGGCAACAGGCTACAGCTGTCGCTTTTAATAATGTAAAGTAGGTAGAGTAAGATAAGACTGTTCAATGAATTGAGTATGAGCTATTCTTTCTGAACATACATATAAGTTGTGTATTTTCGGAAAGGCCTTTGATTGGATATTATGCTATACCTACAACATTTTTAACTTAGGTAATATCCCTCCTGGGTAATAACTATCTACCATTTATTGTAGGTATTTGTTTTAATAATGACGATGTCATTCTTCAATTTCACAATGTATTCAGATATAATATTAGCTGCAAGGGATAGCGCAAAAAAAACCTTGACAACCTTAGTGTATGCATGGATTTACGGAGAAATTGTAATGAAATTGCAGAAAAAGGCTTAAAAAAAGCGGGACTTATTTTTTGTAAGCAGAAGGTGCGGGATTCGATGTAAAAGTATAGAATGACCAAAATAATCACTATAAATCAGAAATAAGATTTATATTTTCATTACAAAAGTGTTGTTTGGAAAGTGTCTTTATGGCTGCCAATAGATGGCGCTAGCACCACCTGAAACGCGGTTTGGCATTGAAATAACCAGCCCAGCAACGGACAGGAGCATGAAGATACATTATGTAAAACAAATTCTCCATACAACTAGTGCAGCCCATGCCCAGCAGTGGACACATCGAATCCGAATAAAATAAATTATGGAAATACTCTCGGTGTATACTATGTCGTTAAATAAAAAAATCTGCAAATTCGATTCACTAATCTCAGTTATATTGTGTTACCTAATATATTTACTAGAGAAACATCCAGTCAAATTGATAACCTCTCTTTTTTTAAAACAGTTTCATTTTTGATAGTTATCATTTTTTTAATGTAGTGCTCAATTTGTTCATTATATATCTTCCATTACGTTTCTAAGTTAACTATAGGGTCTTGTGGGGTAAGAGGAACATACTTTATTTCTCACGTAATATTTTATACTCTAGCTGCTTTATAGAATGTCGTTTTATAGTTTTGATATATATAAAGTATATTTATGTCCGTTATCTTTCCATGATTGAACATCCATATAAGCCAACTATAATATTTACTAACGAAATATGTTAATTTGTTAGGCTAGTACTTTTGTTCCACTTTCCCTGTTTTTGGGTAAGGGAAACGGTCTGCATATATTAATAAATACAGTACCTCTCTTGATTATTCTAGAACTATTTCATATCTAAGAACGTCGTTGATTGAAAATGAATTTTATTCCAATGAAATAGGGCTAAAAGTATAAATTATTGATTAAAAACGGAATTTGGGGTAAGGGAAACATATTATGTGGAGGCAGGGGTAGTCAACTAAAACAATATTTTTTTATACCATGTAATAGACATTAAGGAAATATTTAATTATGTACACCTACTGAATATTAAAAGAATTAAAAGACATTTTAAAAGTAACTTGGCTTCTTCAACCAATTGCAGGTGTGGGCAATTTTGTAATAATGTCCTCTGCGTGTTTAAGTTCCGAGATGTCGTGCACTACAGGAAAAGCAAAAACAGTTGATGTTTCTGCTTTTGATTTCCTTCTTGTATATTTTATTACAGGAGAATCGTTATCATTTATATTTACAACTGCTCCTACGTAATGTTTGAGCGACTTTTTTGTGCAAAATTTAACCAGCACCCAATCATTTTTACCCACTGAATTAACATCGTTTTCCTTGCCATCATCGAGTTCTATATCTTCTGCTTTGTCATCATCACTACTACCATGCAGTATTTTTTCCCAAAAATCGTAATCGTCGCTATCTTCGTCGTATATAATTTCTGTGTCAGTTTCAATCGAAGACGAATGTTTTTGTTTTTTTCTATTATATTTTATCGCTTTTTTCACTGTTTTTTTGAGTTTTGTCCTTTTTGTTTATTTTTTTTGGGGTTTGCTTTAATTTCACGTACTTCTTTTTTATTGTTTTCCTCTGCTATTACTTTTGAGTTTTGTCCTCTTTGTTGATTTTGTTCTGGTATATATTCTTTTCTTCGTTTTGGGTTGAGTTTATTTTCCTGTGTGTGGTTTTGAATTTTTTGCTCTGCTTTTGCTTGTTTTTCTTGTAACTTTGTTAAAACCGGTTTACTTTTTTTTCCTTATCTATTTTCTCCAAATTTATTAATACATCGCCACGGGTTATTACTTCTGCTCCAGTTGCCATACGCTTTCTTTTAGTTTTGGAGCTGGTCCCTGCTTTTATTCTCGATAATAGTAGATCTTCGAACCTGACAACTCTGTTTTCTAGAATTTGAATCTTGGGCTTCCTGATGTTTACTGAGCTCGTTGATTCGTAACTGAGCTGGTTCAAAGAGTTACCACTATATTCTTCTGTCGAATTCTGTGGGAAATCCGAAAATGTAGGAATATATAGAGTCAAGTCGATGCTTTTTAGAGAGAGAGCTAGCAACGACTCCGGGCTGTATTTGGGCTGCTCAGTATACAGCGGCACATCATTCAGTACTTGCTTAATTGGGTCTTCAATAATATTTGTAGCATCACACGTTGAATTATGTTTCCATTCTCGCAAAAGAACTTGATTGAACTTATCTTCTGAGATGGCATTTTTATTAAGGGGATAAATCCCTGATTTACGAAAACCAGCTGCACATATAGCCGGGTCCAATGCACCCCAAATTTGCCCAAACATTTTTGAGAAATCTTTTTTTGGCAACGCCTTCCCAATGTTCAACCTCTGCCACTTTACAAGGGCAACGTCCCATCGATCTTTTAAAGATTTGTTTACAGCTAAATCTAGTGGTTGTAAAAGATGGCTGGTATGGGGAGGTATTTTAAAATTGTAATTTCAGCTTCTCTAGCCTTTTTCATAAGATTTATACCAACATGTGTTGCGTGCCCGTCGAATATCAAAAGGATGGGACGTTTTGGTCCTACTGTTTTTAAAAAAACTTTTTCGAAATAGTTTTCGAAAACCGCAGTCTCCATCCAGCCATTACTGGTTGCCGCATATGCTGTCCCAGGATACCCGTCGTCTGTTGTCCATTCGTCCCATACATTTTTCCCCTTGAACACTATTAGCGGTGGAGTTTTCTCTCCAAGAGCGTTACAGCCTAATAGGACGGTGCTATTATCCTTTCCAGGAGAAGCGATTGTTCTCGTCGAAGTAAATCCTTTAATTCCTACTACTTTTGACTTAGAAGGATCTTTTGAAAAGCTTGTTTCGTCGACATTCCATATGTGAGATGGTCTGTCTAGTAATTTAAGTTCTGTTAGTGCCTGTTCCAGTAAATTAAAGTAGGGATATATAATATACGGGCTACATGCCTGTTTTCTCGCATATTCCACCGGCTGTGGTTTCTTAATTGAAAGATTATGCCTTTTTTTAAATGCAAGAAACCAATCTTCCCCAGGCACGCCATTTTTAAATGGATTTTTAATGTTATTATTTGATACATACTGACCCACTGTCTCTAATAATTCTTTCCTTGTCAGTCCGAAACCATGCTTCTCCATGTCACGCAGGTTTTTTACAAGATCTTCTTCTATTTCCCGAGATAAGATAGCGGCTCTTCCCAAGGTATTCGATTTAAGGCCTTTACGATCATATACCTGAAAATAATATATACATGTACATTACTAAAGCCTGGACCATGATGGCCAAGAGTGCAATGTAGCGCCGGACCCGACCATCACATCTCGATCAGCATTGTAGCCAGCTCTTGATGGACAAGCTGAATTGATAGTCAAGTCCATCATAGGCTGGCTGTATTGCTGACCACCCTAATTCCTGGTCGGACATTTCAAAATAATAATTTGGCTTGTTTTAAAAAAACATCGAGTTCAAATTCCTGAATAGTAAAAAATTGTTAAGAAGTAGTTTTAAATACAGAACATTTTGACAGCGCGATCTAATTTTACATGTGGCGATATTTAGTTAAGAATCTAGACTAATTTAATTTGGTGAGTAATGGATGACACAGTCCATAATTGGCAAAATGCATACAGTTGAACATAGAACCTCCTTCTTTTTTTAATTTTTTAAAATTAAGTTGATTAAAAGATAAATAAAAAAGTCGAAATAGGTGCAAACAAGTCCAATTACTTATATTATCAAATTAAATACAGAGCAATAGCTCTAAAAAGTCAACACAGGTAACTTACTCGATTTATTATGGTGGGTCTGGGTATTCCATAATGCTTAGAGGCCTGATACCCAGACAATTTCCCACTTTTCACTGCTTTAACAGCCTCTAATAATTTTTCTTTTGGGTACGACGTATTATTGGTATTGCGCACATAATTTCTGGGCATTTTGTATGTTTCTGTAATCAAAATCATTAATAAATATACCTTATAACAATTATTAATATAAGTAGTACTAGTTTCTGCCCACGGCTTCGCACGTGTATTTTCGGTATTTAAAGCAGTCTATTATAAGTTAGGCAATGTTCTAAATGTACGCCAAATTACATCTTGATCTGTTCAGTAGTTTTGAAGATCATAGGTAACAAAATAAAATTCACATTTCACAAACTTTCGGCTTTATATTAGTAGGGTTATAATTTTATTTGAGTATATTTTCGCGTCATAGCGAGACATTTAGACATTAGTGATTATTAATTCATTATTAGTTTAGCAAGAACGAACATTTTCATTCATTTAAAATGTTTATGACTTCTGACATCGGGAAAGAGAAACATAAGTTCCCCTTTCCCGGCCACGGCTGTTCCTCTTACCCCACTTAATGATTATTTGGTTATGTTCTAAAGCACTTAATATTTTCATATTAATAGTTAATATTCTAAACTTTTCTATGCAAACAATCAAAAATTAGGTACTAAACAATACTTACTCGCTTTGGCATCTTTGTTTAATGTGTTTTTCTGTATTAGATCACCATTTACAAAATATGTCACGCACTCGTACTTTCGCAGTGTGACAACAAAATTTTTGTTTGCGTCATGGCGGCGCAACCATGAGGCATAGCGACATCTTGGATGTTTATTTGGAATCAATTCATTGTTCTGTTTTACCGACAGAGTAACTGCAGAGCTGCAGTCTATTGTTTTTGATTTACATCTACCTGTTTCCCTTTCCCCATAGTTCCCCTTATCCCACAAGACCTTAAATTACATTTATTCAATGTTTAGTAGTAGCGTAACTATTAAAAAATCATTAGGATTACAATTATTTATTTATGTAAGGATAGTGTTATTCTCTATTATTTTATCGCTAAGGCGTATCTATTGTAACGTGGTAGAGCCACTCTGCAGCTATATTATTATTGTAGCACGAATGGGTCCGCTCGACCGGTGAAGGACCACGCACTCTCAGAATACCAGCGTAAAATATACGTCGTATGGTGAGTGTAGAGATCCGGAGACCCCTTTTTACTGGAAACGAGGCATTCCGTCATAGTCCTTAGGGTGACAACGCATTTGCGTTTTGATTTTTAATTGAGGATAAATGTAGATGACTATGGGCCACAGCATCCACTTACCTTCAGATGGACTGTGTGCTCGTTTGTCATCCATATTCTATAAAAAAGAAGTCCACAACTAGATTGCCTTATCGGAGAGATATTTGCAGTACTACCACGCTTGGCAGGCTAATTGGCAACCACAATTTTCTTTTTGTTGTTATTTGGTTATCATAAGGAAGACGCTGCCCATCTTCTTGTCGTTTCCCTCTGTAGCAGCTTAGGCCATAGGGCAATACTCTCTTACAAACTTACTCGTACATTTAAGCAAATTCTGACCCCATTGCAAATATTTTTTTTATAAATTCTGTGGGTCTCTAATTTTCAAATCGTTTAGACTAAAAAATACAGCTTTATAAGACCTATGTGTAAAAATTACGTGTCACATTATTTGTCCGCGATGAACTACTAAACTACGGAACTGATTGAATAAAACTATTATTTACGGATTTTATCGCGTTTAATTATATTTGCTATTACCAGTCCGTACTGGTTCACATAAATCATTACAGAACTGATTTCAATTTTTTTACGTGGTAGAGTAATTTTTATACGTGGTAGATCCATGCTGCAGTTATATTAGTAGTATAGTTGTAGCACGAATGGGTCGGCTCGACCGGGGTAGGACCACGCTCTCACAGAATACCAGCGCGAAATAGTAGCTTAATGCTGCTGTATTTCGTATGCTGAGTGTGGGGAACCGGAGACCCTTTTTACTGGAAACGAGGCATTCCATCTTAGTCCTCACGGCACGGGTGACAACGCATCTGTATTTTGATTTGTAATCGAGGATAGATGTAGATGTCTATGGGCCACAGCAACCACTTACCATCAGGTGGACTGTGTGCTCGTTTGTCACCCTATCCTATAAAAAAAATGAAATTTTGCACACTATGTGCAGTTTGGTCCAAGTAGAGAGATAGGATAGTTTTTATTCCCATAAGTGACCCTCAATATTTTTTAATTACGAATTTAAGGATTTTTTTATAACAAGGGTTTTCAGAAAGGGCGGAACGACGTCTGTCAGGCCAGCGTTAAACGATTAATGATAGAATAAACAAGGATAGTTAAAGAACGTTCGGTATTGTGTGACCTTTAAAATGATACCAAAGACGGGCGTGTCTAGTTAAATGGAGTTCATTTCGTAATCGTAGGCGATGTTACGCATAAATTCGAGGCCGTGGGAACAACGTTAGCGCCGACTGGCAGTAGAACCTACGCTGACTATTTTGTTATACTTAGTCTAAGTGACTCATATTAATTGTAAGCATAGGAAGTTTTTTAATTGCGACTGATAAAATAATACGGTTATCTACAGATATAAGTAAAATTGAAAAGTCTGTCTGAAATATATAATATAAAAAAATAACTGCCCCATAATAATCAGAGGCGGTTACTTGCATGTCAACGAACAGATAGAGCCAGGTGTCAAGTCTAGGTATAGGCTATAATTTATGCATTGCATATGCAAAATTTTAGAATTTAAAAAAACGAATCGAAGAATTGATAAAATAATATTATTTGATTTTGATTCATAAAATTTAATTAGAATGTTGTTAACTAGTATGCTATATTACATTATTTCAGTCTAAAATTAACAATAATGTGTCAAAATTACTAAAACATGCTTACCAACTAGGCGCATAGCAATTTAAGTTAGACAACTAAGAAAAGCTTCCGATATTTTCCCTCTCCTTTTTCATTGAAATATGCATAGTACTTTATAACAGTACTATATTCACTTTATTTATTGTAAAATCAATATATATGACGTGAAAGTAACATATGTTTAGCATCTTCTGTCATCGAATAGCACTACCTATCGAACAATCGAGAGTTCAGCCGATTTGTATTTTTATACAATAGTTGTATCCAGCGTCACTGGATTTCAGAGCTGGATTGGCATCGTCACTGCATCGCGCAGTTTTATACACGTCCATTCTTCATTTTTTATTTTTGTTGAGCTGACTACACGTTCGTAGCAAAAATGTGTTTTCGCATGTCCAATAGTTTTCTTCGCTCAATTCACTGGATAATAAAGGCGCTTGAGTCTGGCGCTTGGTGATGGTCACTGAATTGAAAATTGGCAACTGGTCTGTTCTGATACAGCGCTAGATATTAGAGGCTGGACTGAATTGGAACGTCTTTATATTTGACACGGTGCCAATCCTGCTCTGGTATCCAGTTACGCTGGAAACAGCTACTGTATCAATATAAATCCGGATAAATTCTCCGATAGTCATGTTATTCGTCGAATAAAATTTAACTGGTGATTAAAAATAATCATGTATTGCTAACCGTCGGAAAAACGCTATTTGTCTATTTGCGAATTGAAAAAACAGCCCTTAGTCATGTTATCGATCAAAGAGACATCATAAGAGGTTCCGACGATGGTGCATCTTTCCTAGTATAGGTGTTGGGATTAGTAGTAGCGGGGATTTTGTCCGCAATTGAGGACGAGCGGGATGTATAGTACCGTGAAGTGGAGGTGTTAGAGTATCTACTACTCCATATCATCCCGTGGGTGTCGTAAGAGTTGACTGAGGGAAATAAATCAGGAGATGAGCAGCAGTGTCTCTCTAATGATGACCAAAACTAAAAACTACGGTTGCCAACCCGCTTGGTAAGCGTGGCAACTATGGCAGAATAAAATCTAGTAGGCTATTATAAAATCCCAAATGAAATAAGGCAATTAGATAAATCGATTTAAATTAAAGTGGCTTTAGAAAAACAGTTTTATTCGGTAAATGACTGCTAAAAATAAAAGAATCACAAAATGCTGTTTCTTATCTGATTGTTTTAAACGATAATATTAAGATTGTAAAATGATGCATGTTTATTTTTACTTAAATTTTTGTATAATAAGTATAGACTATTATTCTAACCATAAGTTAATTAGTAAATAAGTTTTCATATACCAAAATTGGTGAAATATGTGAATCATTATTATTTTTATAAGAACATCTTTGTACCATATTTCTTGTGAATAAATTTATTTATTTATTTATCTCACATATGAGGCAATCTACGGGGACGCCTTTGTCTAGCATTGGACTTTAATATACTCTAACGGTAATGCGAGCTGCTCTTCAAGCTAGCTAAGACATATAACTTTTTTACGCGGATATTAGCTAATTAATTATAACATCTACAATATAATGGATTGCCGCAAAGTAACGTCTGAATCTATTAATAAATTTCAAATTAAATAAACATTTTCCAGAGCTTGAGTTACCGGCCCAATAAATTTCAATTACTTACAAATGGCTTTGTTTCTTAATTTGATGGTACCCTATCAAACGAAGATGTTATAATTGATTGTAGGACGTAATCTAAAAACCAAATTACATTAGCGTAGTTTATTGATATCACCTTTCAGGCGCTGCATAAACAGCTGGAGATTTATCTTTGGCAACTGTATTTCGTTATAACAATAGATTGCTAAACTATTTCTTTCAATAATCGCCCTCAACTATGGGAAAAGAACAATTAAAATTCTGTCTATTGTGTTGTATAATAATGACTTGCTATTTTTTACCTCGAGTTGAGAAGTATTATGGTTGTACATATCATGCTAACGTTTAGACCGTGCTTTATTATTTTAATCTATATTCATTGCTCTTTTAAATCATACACGTAAAACAAAAGTTGTCTGTACATATTCCATTTTTTATTATTATCAAAGCATACATGCTCTTCGGTTATGGGTAGAATTAGTGGGTTATTCTGACAATTTGGTCGATAAACTTCCGTCTGGGATGTCTTTTTTTGTCTCTACCACTCACTTCTGCAGCATTTTGCTTTGTTACTCTTTTTTGTTCATTCTTTATTT